GATATATTTTTGTACGATGATTGATTATTGTTTCAAGCATTGTTATTGTAATAAGCAAAATGTAAATATTCATACATAGTGGCTCAGAAATTTGTACGGAGTTTGATACCTTTTATACTCCCTATTTGTTAAATAAATTTACAATCAAAACATATTTTCTGCGCTACTATGATGACAGTTACCATTTATATTGTACTTTTTGTACATAATTACAAATAAAAGTCAATTTCATAAGAATGCCATTTGATAAGTCTTTATTTATATGTATTACTCTTAATCCACCTAGCAGAAATTACATGTGAGTTGATAGAGAAGCTCATAACGTATCATAGAGTATTGCACAATTAACGATCTGTTGAAATTAGTTTCTTTATAATCTGTAAAATATGTATGTAATGGCACAATTTACACGATAGTATACATATAATGCACGGGCACATTTAATGTCTAAGATATGAAACCCCACATAATATAATATAATCATTTATTTCTCACCGTTTTCACAAAATATAAATGTAAGTACATCTTTCTATTAAGTATCTCCCTAAATACATTTTTAATATGATATTTTTGCTAATTATTTTATATAATAATACGATTATTGTGTACAGAATAATTATATTATTATGATGCTAGAATATTTGCTTTTTATAACATTATTAAAATTATATTATTTTAAGCAACATTTGATCAGAAATTCAATGTAATGTTGTGATTTTATTTATTTATAATAATGTTAATTGATTATTTCCAGGATACCATAATGAAATCTACGCAAGCTGCACCTGAGATTAAACCCACATTACAGCATGCATATATCAACAAATTCAATCGTAAATTAAAATCCATGGGAAAAAATACAGCAATCAGTTCAGAAAAGAAGTCGAGCAAACCTTGGTGGATATATCCGTCTGTTGGATGGAAAAAATACACTCAACGCTTAAAAATGCCTCAAAAATTACTTCAGCAGCAAGAAGAATTTCTAAATAAACAAATTATGTCACCAACATTCCATCTCATGAATAATCAAAATAAAAATGTAGATTTATCTGATCCTGATATGGAAATCATCAAGATTACAACAGTTGTCGAAGCCATTCGACAGAAACGACAAAATAGTGCGCAAATATTAAAAGCAGCAAAAAGTATTCAGAAAATAATTGGTAATAAACGTTCAAAACGTTCATCTTACAAATCGGGAAATAATTCGCAGGATGTTCAACGGGAAAAAACTATCATTTCAAATAAAAAATCTCGTCATCCAAATCCCAATCGAAAACAACCAAAAAGAACTCTTTCAACGAAAAAACCGCTACGAAACAAAAATGCAACTGATCTTAAAACAGCGAATAATGTAGCGATACCAAGTACTCTGTTTTACAAACGTATTTGGGAATATATTAACGGTACCCGTCCTCATACTGATATTATCAGTGGTTACAATTCCTTAGAAAATAATTCAGACAATTCAACATGCACTGATAAAGACCGAATTACAGGCTCGCAATCACAGGAAGATAAGTCACAAGTAACGAGTACCAATATTAAACCGGAACGCGATTTTTATAAACGCATCTGGGATCTAATCAACGCAACTCAATCAATCAGGAACGAAAAGACTCGTTCTAAACGAAATGCGAGTATTCCGGAAAGTAGTGCGGCTTCAACTCCGTGCATCCAAGAAGAAACGGTGAATTATAAAGAAGATAAGCAGGGCGTACAAGCGACGAACGATAAAACACTCAATATCACGGATATAAATTTGCCAGAAATATCTGATTCTGGTCCTTACATATCGGGCTTTTGGAACATTGCAAATAAAATCCAATGGCAACCTAACCAGATTCCGGTTGTGGAAGCAAAATTAAATAATAATCCGATTTTATCATCACTTATAACCAGCGCTTCTGAAGTGGACGATTTGAATAAATTTTCCGATAAAGTTGAAAGTGTTGATTATTCGTCTTTAGATAATTCGACGGAATACACCAATGAAATGCGTAATTCGTCACAGGAAATTATTTCCGAACCAGGTTCGCCATATTCTTCTGAAGAGAGTTTCACTACATCATCATTCTTGCCAACCGAGAGTGCTGTCGAAAAACCCTTGCAAGAAAAGAATCAAGTGGAACGCAGAGAAAATTTGACAGGCACAATTCCGAATTATGATCCTTCAAATATACCTTATGTGGAAGTACCAGATTATTCCGATCAACAGGAGAAGAGTTTAGATAAAAATAATCAAAGTATAACTCCAGTGAGATACAACGAATATGATGATAGCGATTATGATTACATTCCTAAACAGCTCCACGACGCTGATGATTTCTCTTCAAAATCCCCAAGTGCTAAGATTAAGGTAGTACAGACTGAAAGTGACGGGCCGGAAACCTTATTGAACGCAAATAACTCGCGTCCAAGTTGCACGGAAAGTAAAGATTCTGCCGAATGCGTTGACAATTACGATGTCGAAGACACCAAGTTACACAATAATACCGAGGATGTTACCGGCGACATTCACCATTCTGCAGAAGAGGAAAATGAAAATTTAGATTTCGATTTTGATGAATATAAAAAACCGATCAATTGGGACGAGTTCCTTAAAAACGATCCTATATTAGAAAGCATACGAGCTATCTTCAGTAAGAAATACGATTATAAGGAAAATCCTGATCACACCGAAACGTCTGAAGAGGTCGAAACGGATCCAAAAGAACAATCGTATAATTATTTCACGAAGAACGATGATTTCCATGATGACACTTTTAATGATAGAGACAAGACAAAAGAGGAAACTGATTCTTACGAGAAAAAAGAAGCAAAAGAAAGTGAGATAGTCGATAAGAATTATTATCCTTATGATAACAAAGAATTGTTTAAGCATATTTTCGGAAAGGATAAAGAATCGGACAGCGATAAAGAATTGGATAGTAATAAAGAATCGGACAGCGATAAAGAATCGGACAGCGATAAAGAATCGGACAACGATAAAGAATCGGAATATAATTATAAAGAAAATTTCGATCGCACCAAGAACTCTAAAGAAATCGAATATACTACAGATCCAGAAGAACATAAGGAAGATTCTGATCGTACTGAGGAATTTGAAGAGACGACGCATGCCACGGATCCAAACGAACAATCACAAGATTCTTTCGTGAAGAACGAAGATCATCACGATAATCACAGAATTGCTTCCGACGATACAGATGAAGTAAACAGTAAAGAAGAAGACACTGACTCCTATGCTAAGAAAGAAGAGAAACAGAGCGAAGAAATTGATGAAGATCCTCACCCTGACTATGACAAAGATTTCTTTAAGAATATTTTCGAACGAGACAACGATAAAGAATCATCTGATACAGTTGACACGGAAAAAGAATTCTTGTCTCGTTACTTTACAAAGGATGTTTTACACCAATTGCAAGATAACTCGACAGCCGAAGAAGACAGACAAAAGGAGGAATCGAGAAACAGAGAAGATATTCATAAAACGTTGTCAAAAATTTTAGAAAAGAAGGATCGTTTCTCGAGATTAGATGAAAATCTCAACAAAATGATTGAAAAAGGTGAAGCAATACCGATTAAATATAACAACTTTTGGAGTTTGGAATACGAATCGCCTCGTAAAAGAAACAAAGATAATGAACAAGAAACAGAAGATTCAAAAGAAGAAGCTTAAGACATTAATTTTTAAGCTAAAACTTTAAATAATAATTAACAAGATGTCTAATATTTTTGGCCAAGGCTGTATATAAATTATATTAAATCATGTTAAATTTATATTCTTGTTATTACATGTTTGTCGTTAAAATATAATAAACAATTAATTATAATAGTGCTACTATAATTAAAGTAATTGTTACATGACAGTAACAATCTAATTTGCTATTACCTATAATATTATATATTATTGTGATGCATTATGAAAAATAAGTAATACATTCTGTAATGATGTTTTCAATGTTGTGTTTTAATGAATTTAAATAAATTAAAAATATATAAATAAGTAACATAATAATATAAAAATGCAACAATATTTTAAGTATACCTAAAAAAATATAAAGGTATACAGTATTTATTCAAATAAAACTACAACAACAAAAAATTAATGTAAAAAATAATTCAAAAAGGTAAAATAAAAAGATAAAATAAGAAAATTAGTTTATAGTACATACGATACCTTCTAAAGAAATTCTATAGCATATGTCACAAAATTTTATATTAGAATCACGATGGATCATATAAGTTATAAATCAAAATGTATGTAAAGCAATACAAAGTATATCACATTTAACAGTATTTTTAAATGCAAAGGTTAATAGTAACATACAGAAACATGCGCGTTTCTTCTATAAAAACGCATAAGACATTACAGTTGAGTGCAGGAAATTAAAGAGATCAAATTAAAGGAAGATAAGCAGCGGGGGTTTCCCTAGCGCGAGGGTTGAATCCGGCATTTGCGGATATATAAGACCGGCGAAGACCATTCAGTGTCATTCGTTGGTTTTATATATCCGCAACAATTCCAACAGCTTTACCTTCTCAAGCTGCCGTACCGATCAGGTAAAGGTCTGAAAATCATATTTCTTAAGTATCGTTTATTTTTAAAAATTTATCTCTTCTTTTTCGCACGGGTGATAAGAAAATGCTTTTTGCCAAAATCTATCAATCCGTTTTTCACATGCTAAAGAGATCCACCGCGTCGTCGGTCGATTGATTGCTCCAATCAGTCAATATTATTGTTCGTGTAACGTATGTTAACGATATCAAACGCTGTCCATGCGATCCTTGGTCTTGAATCCTCAAGTGCTTCCTGGTAAGAAAGAGGGGGAGATAGAAAGAGAGGAGAGAGAGAGAGAGAGAGGGGGGGGAGGGAGGCTGACATCACGGAAAGCCAAGATACCTTCCATCCATATTTATTATGTTTATGCGTTCACAATGTGGCCGTTAAGGCGAACGCGGAAGCGCGATGAAGAGATTCCGGTTATAAATGACCGTATATATTAAAAAGTGGCGACGACACGCTGCTCTCTCGAGGCACGAGGCATGAAGAAACAACTGGTGAGGAACCTTCGGTGGCGTCACGACGACGTATCGCAGCAGACAGCACGTCTGCACGTTGTTTCCGTGTGATTAAAGGAATAATTGCGCCATAACATTGTCTGATCAACGCACCAGGATTTTCGCATGCCGACGACACGCGGCCTCACGAGAATCTCACGGTCTCTAGTAAAACATATCGCACATATCGCGTATAATATTAACACGCGTGCTTAATGGGTCTTTTTATTTTTTTATCAGCTAAGAAAAAAAAGAACGAGAGAGAGAGAGAGAGAGATTATTAACACCCGAGTTATCCCTGAAAGTTTATCGAGTTCGACTACGGTCATCTCCCTCTCTGTCCTTCCTTCCGAGTGAACACTAATTGCAAACTGGAAATGCAAAACGGCGTATGAATGGTGAAGAGAACGTTTTTCGCATCTTTGGATACACTCTTCGAAATATTTTTCCTAGTAAAGTAAATGCAAATGGGCAACGGATAGAAAACTCCCCAACTTCTACTCTCGTTCTTCCACCTTTCATCGAAGTCTCGTTCCTTGATCGATGAGTTATTTTTCCTTTGATCTTTACAAGCCTTAATCAAATTACAGCATTTCAAAAAGAACGAAATGAAGATAAGATAGATACTTTATTGTTTCCCTATAAAGCAAAGAAGAAGAGATAATGTTAAGTATTAGTGAGAGAGAGAGAGAGAGAGAGAGAGAGAGAGAGAGAGAGAGAGAGAGGGAGAGAAAGTAATAGATTAGCATT